TGAGGTATTTAACCTTCAAATATTTCATTAAAAAAAGCCATATAAATTAATATTTTATGTTATGTCAATAGAAAATTTTGATGCAAATAATATTATCAGGTAATAGTATTATGGAAGCATATTTTATTAATATATTTATTTATTAAAAAATTTATTATAGCCTATAAAAATTATTAATATTATCTGTGCTAGTGCTCCGAAAGGGTCGGGTCAGACCCGGGTGATAGACCCGACCCGGATTTTAAATCGAGTCGGGATTGGTAATTTTAATGACCCGTGACCCGCATGACCCGACCCGTCGGGTAAGGGTCATACTATTACTTTGACCCAGAACAACCCGAGTGACCCGGATGAACGCGTCTTTTTCCAGACGAAAAAATTTTATTTTATGCTAAACTATTTTAGTTTAGTTTGTATACTTGTAAATACTTTACTAATTAATATAATGTCTAAGACTATCGATCTTATTGGAATCAATATTTCAACTTGGAAACGAAAAGTTTGCATAGTGAGCTTTTATTTTTGCAATTTCTAATACCTTTAACTTTAAATTATCATTTTGGTTCATAATTGATCGTCATAAAAATTTTAAATGTAATGTTTTAATTGAAATATATACTTAATATTAGTATTTATTTCTTTAAAACTCTAGAAGTTAAAAACTTGGTGACATAAAATTGGTAATTGGGGAAATACCGTCAAAATATAGTTTGCCAAAACTAAAAATCATAAATTTAAAATTATATACCTGATACTATACACATATATATTTTAAAGAAAAAATTTAATTATTACATCAAACTTTCATATTTTCTCTAAGTCATAGCCTTTTGACTTAAGAGAAACTTGATCTATTCGTAATATTATAAATATTAGCATTGATAAGACCCATGTTTCAATCAAAAATTCAAAAAAAAATATTTTCATATAAATTCGGGTTCAACCCGGGTTATTCGAGTCTAACTACAGTCGGGTCGAGTCAAGTTCGGGTTACATAGTTGGCCGACCCGAAAATTCGAGTCGGGTTACATGAATATTCGAGTCGAATTCAAACATTCACTCAAACCCGACCAACCCGACCCGTACGGAGCACTAATCTGTGCAAAGAATCTCACTAAAAAAAATCATTAGTCATTTAGTTTTTTTTTATATGTATAGATATTATCTTACTAATACTGTAAATCCGATTTTTTTTGATTTTTAATGAAAAATTATGAAATTTATCTAAAGATATTGTTTTTATAGATTTACTACATAATCCTGACGATTAGAATCCTGTTACAACAACAAACCCGACGCCCTCAATCCTGTCAAATAATAATCCCGAAATTCAAAATCCTGAAACTACATTATTCCCGACATTCGTTATTCCCGACATTCGTTATTCCCGACATTCGTTATTCCCGACATTCGTTATCCTAACATTCGTTATCCTGACATTCATTATCCTGACATTCATTATCCTGACATTCTTTTCAAATTATTAAATATTAATAAGAAAAATCATCTTAATTTGCAATGTATTATTAAGTATTATTAAATGTAAATAAAACATTTATATGTACAAAATGTTTATAAAAAAAAGTAAAATAATGTGTCGGGATAATGAATGTTGGGAATAATGTAGTTTCGGGATTTTGAATTTTTAGGATTATCAGGGTTTATGCTATAGCGGAATTCTGATTGTCAGGATCCCCCTGTTTTTATATAACCGATCGACTGATCGTTAATTCTATTAATAAATGTATTTTGATCATCTTTTTATACAAAATAAAATTAGAATGCAGATTCTAATTTTTGTATGGAGAAACTTTCTATCATAAAATTTAAATTTATTAACTTTATTACAAATTACATGATATTAATTAGAAATATCATAAATTTATTGTAAAAATAGTTTTTTTTTGAATAAAAACCATTTTATAATTAATTAATTGGAACCTAAGGTTTATGTGATGAATATTTTATAGTTGACCTTCCCTCAAATTAATATACATTTGAAAGTTAAAGTATAAATTTAACTTTCTATAGAGAAATTTCAAAATTATAATGTGCATTTTACTACATAAAAGCTAAAATCTGCATTTTAACTCAGATTTGTTACATTAAGTAAAGTTGAAGAGAAGAATTGAAAGGTCAAAATACATTTACCACAATATTTTCATAAAATAGACCTCACACTTAATGTGCAAAATTATGTAATTTTTTAAATAATACATGTTTTTCAAATATGCACATATTTTAAAAATTTCAATATTATATGTAATTATTTTAATTATTTTTAATTGTTCTACAATAACAGATTAATGATTTAGAAAGTCAATTTTTTATTTATACATATATTATATTATATTAGATTTGGCCGATCATTATTACAAACCTGATTAACACTCAATTTGATTAGTAAAATTTTTATAATAATTCTCGAAATTTTTTTTTTTATGAATTGATAAATTTATAAAAATATTATCTAAATATATAATAAAAAGGTTGATTTATTTTAACAATTAAATAATTTTAAAATTGCAGGCAAATTTGTTCACACTTGAAGGGATAAAATAGAATTAAATACGGTAGTAGATTATTCTTAATTTCTGTTATTTCAAATTATATTATTAATTATGTTATATAAGAGTTTTTTTTTTTTGAAAAAAAGAAAATGATTAAAAGATAAATTTGGTTCTTTTTCCTACTTATAATCGGAGATCAAAAAAAACTATCTTTTTTCAATAGCAATAATATATTAATCAATCAATCAATTAATTGTCCGAAGCGTAGTGTAGGACCGTTTACTTCTAAGAATAACAGATATGCTTATCAACCAATTAGATTTTGCATTTAGTTTACGTGTCACGTGATGTAAATAAATTTCGGACCTGAACGGTTTGCGTTCCCTAGTTAATATAAATTCTTCATATTTAGTTAATTTTCTAAAAGTTCTGAAAATTTAAATAAATAAAACCAAAAAAATAAAAGTTTTAGAGTAAAAAAAAAAAACAATGTTAATAATATAAAATATTTTAAAAAAAATAATTTAACAAAGTTTATAAAATGTTTTTTTTTAAAAAAAAACAAATAAATGAATAAAACAAATTAAATGAAAATATTAAAAATGTAAAATCATTTTCCATAAAAATTTAAAACTGAAATTTGTGAGCTTTAAAGTAAAATTTTGATAATTTAATTTCTAATCTAGGATTTAAAATCTAATGTACTGTAGATTTAACAGTTTAAAAATTATACAGACGATCCAATTAGTAATAAATTCATGAAATATTATTGCAGTATAACAATAAATTTTTATTAATATTTGTTTAATATTGTATAATTATATAAAATATTAATTCGTTGATTCCACGATGCAAATTTTTGTCGATCATTAGTAATTTTTTTTTCTGATACCCGATTTTCATTCCATTATCGTATTATTAATACACAATATTCTAGATTCCCATTTTCTGCAGATCCTTTGCAGTTGACTCGTGGATCACACGAATTAAGTTAGAACAATGAATTTCTAAATTAATTTTAAACGATTTTATAATTAAATTGTAATTATATATTAGTCAATATGTATGGATTTAAATAGAAATTTCTTTTTATTTACGGATTTGAAATTAAAATAATATCTATTTGGAAATTATTAGTAAGCAGCAACATTTATTAAATTTATCTTAATTACTTTTTTTTTTCTATTAGAAATTTAAAATAATATTTATAACAAAAAAGGCAACTTTTCAACTTTAGAAAAAGGAAAAATCAAGATGTATATTTTTGCCTAGAAATATCTTTTCCTAAAATGAACTTCTATTATATAATCTTCGGCCTAAATTTTAAAATCAATGTAAAATGAAGTTTTATTTTTTATATTTCTTGTTTTCTTTTATTTCAAATATTATTTTTTTTAAAATAAATAAATAAATAAATAATAAATAATTGAAATTATTATAATTATTATAAATAAAGTTCATCATTTTGTTTTTATATTAAAAAAAAATCATTGATTGAGTATATATTAACGAATATAAAAAAATTCGACATTTATTATATATTAATTCATTTAAAAATAATTCATGTTGTCTAGATAAATTTTTTATAAAGTATGAAGACATTGATATTAAAATTTCCATTTCTTGAAATAAGCTTAAATAATGTTTTTTAATTGTAAGAAACATGTTACAATTTACAAATTGCAATAGTAATGTAGGATTTTAGCAAATCCTAAATTAACAAAATCATAATTGTTATTTTAGTCTTTTTAGAAAATTGAAGAAACATCTAGACTTTAGAGGTAAAATAACTTTCAAATAAAATTTTCTATTTTTCATGAGAATTTTTACATAATTTTTTGGTCTCAATATTTCTGAAATCATTGATTAATAAATTTATTCAAGGTCTTTAAATTTGTCTTTTAATTTAAAGAACTTTAATTATTTCGATTATTAATAGCAATTGTAGATGAGAAAATTGCATTAATCTGACTTTACTAATAATTTTTTAGCCGGCAGCTGATATTAATAAGAATTTAAGTTTATATACAAATGTTATTACTGTTATTACTGGAAAAAAAAAAGATTTTCTTGTCAAGTTGAGAAATGTTATCAAGTAACTGCAACATGATACTTTAAGCAAAAATTATTAAATTACTAAAATATATATAAATATAATTAAAAAATTGATCTATATTAATAATAAATAAATAAAGATTATTTGAATTTATTTTTCCTTATATGCATATTTCATAAAAAAAAAAAAAGAAAAAGTTTAGGATAATTAATTCATCGTAATTATTCAAACTATTATTCTCCAATCAATTTGTTAACCAATCTTAAACTAAATAAAATTTATTATTTCCTTCTGTTTTAATTAGAAATTAAATCATATAAATATCTTATAAATAATGAAAGAAAATTATTTGATTTTTAATACTACGTCTTTTTTTTTATTGAAACTAACTAAACTAACTACAAAAAAAAAAAATTTTTTGATCTATATATCTCTCTCTCTATTTAACAAATGTTATTTTCGTATAATCATATATAAACTAATTTCAACTAAACAAAAGGATTTTTTTAAAAAAAACCATATATATACTTGAGTAAGTACTAAAGACATAAGTAGAAAACTAACCAAAAAAATTTTTAATATAAATAATAATGTCCTATATATTAATCTGACACTCTGACCTATCACATCTTTTCCTTATCACATAAACAACAAAAAATACGGTTCAATCAGACTATGAGTTGGTAATTTTAATCATTAATTTCGATAACATTAGGAAAATTTGGATTTAAATTATGATAAAATTTCAAATGCGATTTTAACTCCTCTCTGCTTGTAAATTCTTTTTTACAACTATCCCAATGACAATTAAAGGTACTTGAAACACTTATAACACTTCCAAGTGGAGGTCCAGGTAATTCATTTAATTCTGAATCATAGTATCCGAGGAAAGATTTATCTCCATTTGAAGTAGTATTTGTATTATTTATTGATGATGATGATTCTTTAGGATTGTTTTCAGTTTCTGAAACATTCTGATTGTCCGGAGCAATACTTAATTCATTCGAAGTATTTTCTCCTATACTTGGATGATTATTCAACTTTGATTGAGCACTATTTTTTCTGGCTAAATGTATTTTATCCATTTCTTCTCTAGTTTTCCCTTTAATCTGTAATAAAAGATTCGTAATATCCTGATGATATTTATCATCTTCAAGAGCCAACTTTAATTCTTGTTCTTTAAGTTTATATTGTAATTGTAAAGTGGTGATTTTATCTTCCAATTGTTGTACTTGAATTTCTAATGATTCAGTTCTCTTTGAGGTTTTACTACTTGAACTTAATCTTTGTTGACTAGTAAAGATTTGAATTTCGGTTTCTAAATTTTTAATCTTAGATTTCAAAGATTTTGAATTATTCTTCAATGAATCTATTTCTTTTTTCAATTTGTTAATTTCCTGGTCTTTACTTTCCAATTCTGTTATTAATTTAGTATTTTCACGTTGAACTCCTGACATCTCCATTCGAGTTTTTTCCAATTCAATACTTTGAACTTCAAGTAATGTTCTCTTACGTTTTGATTGCATTTCACCAAGTTGAGTTCTTGTTTTAGCAAGTTCTGAACTAAGTTCATTAGTTTTCTTACAAAATTTATCTTTTTCTTGTGTAAGATTTTCTATTTTTTCTTCTTGCAATTTATTTTGATTCAATAATTCCATATATTTTTGTTTCCATTCTAAGGCATTATCTTCCAAACTCTTTTTTTTTTGTTTTTTTTTTTATTGATCACAATTTAATTAATATTAATATTAAAACACATTAAATATATATAAAAAAAAATTTAATAAATAATTTTTAAATAATCTTACCTGTAATTCCTTGTTACTTTTATTTGAATCCTTAGAAATACTTTTAACAATATTTTTATTGAAATCCTTTGTAATAATATTTCTATTATTATTATTTTCTCTATTATTAAAAGAACTCTTAATAGATGTTGAAGAAGATTCTTTAATAGCATCCTGTGTTGAATCTCTACTTTTATTATAAGAATCTCTAGATGAATCTTTCAATGAATTTCTACGTGAATCCTTAGAAGAATCATCTCTTGAATTCTTTGGTGATTGAGTTTGTTGTTTGATTTTATTCAAATTCATAGGATTAGGATTAGGATTAATTTGTTCTACAGGTGATTCTGTAAGTGGTTCTGTAGGTGATAATATTGTTGGAATAGTTGAAATTGTTGAAATTGTTGAAGTTGTTGAAGTTGTTAAAGAAAGTGCTTTATTTTCATTTGATGAAGAAGAAGCACATGAATTTAACATTTCTGTAGGTGGTTCCTCTATAACCTTTAATTTTTTCTTCTTTTGGAAATTATCATCATCATTCTGTACCACTTCTTTATCCTAAATTTTTGAAATTTATATTAAAAAATCGGTATTTGTTATAAAAAAAAATACAAACGTAAATTTTTTTAAACTTACTTTTCTTCTTTTAAGACTTCCTTCATCATTAACATCAGAAACTCTTTTTTCAGCTTTTGCTAATGCGACATCTTTAAAATCTTTACGTTCTTTATTACTTCCACTTACAATAAGACGTCTATCAAATGAAATATGTTCTGGGATTTTACCCCAAACTTTTTCAACAGCAGCTTCCATTCCAAAAGATAAATTTCTTAACATTCCTTCGTTAATCCATTGAAAAACTTTATCGCACGTTCCTTGAATATCAAATCTTGATAATTCACAACCTGCTTCTACAAATTGATTTTTCTTCCATAAACCAAAAGTCAAAATTCTTTTCATTTCAAATAATGATAAATTCGAAAAAGAAAAACTATCATCTTGATTTAATGACATTTGATAATTAATAGCATGTTCAAGAGTATTCTTTGTAACAAGTCTAATAGTCGGAATATTTTCATTTGTTTTAGTATGTAATAAATGTTTTTTTGGATTGAAACTTGTATCGTAAGCAATTACAAGATCAAATTGTGGCTACGAATGAAAGAAAATTAAGAAAATTTAATATGAAAATTATTGAAATTTTTTTAACGAATCATTAAAATATATATTCATATATATATAAATATATATAAAAATTATCTTACCAATTCTTCTTCACTCATTTTTGGTAAAGGAGTTGTAAAAACAATACAGGTCAATTTATCATCATTTGAACTAGTAGTTCCTTTCAACAATTTATTGTTTGCGGTTTCATTCAAAACATTAAAATTAAGTTTATGTTTTTTCATAAAATCTTTAATAATACTCTAAATAAGACAGGAAAAAAAGAATCAATAATTATTTTTTTTTAAAAAAAACAAGTAAATAAATACAAAAATATATATTTACATTCATTATTGGACCTTGTGGAATAGCAATACCAAGAGTGAGATTACAATTTCTTAATCCATTTAATAAATGAAACATCATCACCAATTTTCCCATATTTTCAAAAGATTGATATGAAACATTCGATCCTTGTGAATGACCATGTACGGAAGATAAAAGAAGGGATAAATGATTAACAATTTTAAGTAAACTATCCTTTGTATCAAAAACGATAGAACCTCTTTCAGGAGGAGTGGCCAAATTAGTTTCGGCCAAATATTTAAAAAATTGGGGTTTATCAAATGTTCTTCGATAAGCAATTTGTTGTAATTTTGACAAAGGAACAGGAAGTAAAATATGATAAGGACGTAATAGATGACGTTGTATTTTAACATTTTTAACGGCAACGGTAGGGTTAACATTTGAATTTCCATCAAGGTTTAGCTTAGATAAAGCAGAATTATTCATAAAAAAGGTTCTGCCAGTATCATCATCAGAATCTATGACCATAGGAGACTCTGCGCTATTACCAACATTTGCAGAGGGAGTACCATAACTAAAACCTGCTGATATTTTTTGATGTTTTCTTTCACGTTTGATTGATGGTGAATTTTTTAAAGGATTATTCGAAGGAAGCGAAGAAATTACGGGAGATTTAAATTTTCTTTTTGCCGGTTTACTACGTCGTTGTTCCCAGGAAGCGATAAGCGGTTGTGTACAATGACTTGCAGGTTCCTATAAAGAAATTTTTAATATATATATATATATATATATATTTCTTAAAAAAAAAAGGAACGAATAATAAATACCCAAGTTGGTTCCCAAGGTCTTTTATTATGGTCCATTCCT